TTGCTTATTGTGTTGCTAATGTAATGTCCTTATACCCTGAAGTGTGGAAAAATTCCATTGTGATTATTACTTCATAGGTATGCTGTCTAATATTAATAATAGGAATATTAATAATAATAATAAGATGCTGTTGAGTTGATTCCAATCTTTGATTTTCAAGTATTTCTAAAATGAATAATATTGACCTACTTTACAGGGTCATTGTAAAGATTACTCAGCTGATGTCTATGAAGAATTTAAAGCAATACAGAAATGTAAATTAATGATACCCATTTGATAACTGCACTATAATTTAGAAAATGTTTTCAAAGCGTATATGGGCCCATGATGCTTATTTCAGGCTTTGAAAACATTTTCTAAGTTATAGTGCAGTTATCAAATGGCTATCATTAATTTACATTTCTGTATTGCTTTAAATTCTTCATAGACATCAGCTGAGTAATCTTTACAATGACCCTGTAAAGTAGCTCAATATTATTCATGTTCTATATATTCCCTTCATAAAACATGGGTTGCCTGACCTAGAAGGTCTGTTGTTCTCTGTTGAACTCTCAGGACAAAAGCAGAATTGGTACTAAAATCCCAACACTCAGTTCAAACTGTGAGATCTCATTGGTTACCTTTGTTTAATAAACATGAGACTAGAAACCTACAGCAGGGTGGGTGGACTGTAATGCTCCATCAGGTGTGTTCCACTATTTCTGCTTGCCATTGTGCAAGCCAGGAGGTTATCCTTTTGGAACCAATGGGGTTTCTGCTAACACTAAGCAGGTACCAGAAACCAATTTCCTCCCGCTCCAAAAAAGTAGAAACTGCTGATGCAACAGAGTAGTGTATGAGCAGAGCAGAACAACAGGATTCCGACCAAAGGAATTGCATGACTGGGTGTAAATCAGAGCCAGCTCTATCATTGGGCAGAATGAAGCAACAACCCCAGCATCAGACTATGTGTGTGGTGATGATGGTAGTTACTGGGATGGTAATAGCCTTCCGGCTTTTTTCATGACTTCTCCAGTCCTTCCCTCTGTTAGAGCAGTGGTCCCCAACCTTGGGCCTCCAGATGTTCTTGGACTTCAACTCCCAGAAATCCTGGCCAGCAGAGGTGGTGGTGAAGGCTTCTGGGAGTTGTAGTCTAAGAACATCTGGAGGCCCAAGGTTGGGGACCACTGTGTTAGAGGACAGAGTAGTTTAGACTACACAACCATCCCTGCTGGTACTTTATTCCTTTATGGTAATAGCCAATGAGCCCATTTTCATTGATAACATGCCTAAGAAGAAAAGGCTTAAACCTCACCTTCTCACTTTAACCATGAAGATAACACCCACTACACACACCTGTTATTTCCTCTTTGAAAGCCAACTACAAATCTGATTGCTAGTAATACAGTATGATTAATGTAAGATGTAGTTTGCCCAGAAGTCGTGATGGGGAGCTGGTTTTGTGGGATACCTACAGTGTCTCTAAAATTAAGCTTCCAGCCAAGGCGGAGGATTTACTTTGGCAATAATTTTTTTGTTGAAAGAAAAACTGCACTGAGGGCAGGATGTTGCTTTTAACTAGCCTGAGATGACTAATTATTAAACTCATTTTCTAAAGGTTAGCATATACAGAAAAGCAATTATACGGAGATTAAAACAAGTTCAGAAACCTGATTCATTCTGAAAGTATGGTAAACCTAAGTCTTGTACTGTTTCTGAGTTTTAATGAACTCAGGAACATTTTTAAAAAAAAAACTTAGATGTCAAATGCAATTTCAAAATAAGAGAGGAAACTCTTTTTTCAAATGTTTTACTTTCCACATGCACATATGCATTTTACAGAGGATAGATTTCACAGGATTATTCTTTCTGTGAATTCCAGCAGATTAGCAGAAATCCCATACAAGTCATTTAACCCTTTAAATCAATGGTGGTTAAAGTGTGGCCCAGAGGCAGCATGTGACACACACACCCTCAGACCCCACAGTTTCCAGCACTCTGTTCTTTTACATCCTAGTGTTTTTTTTTATTTTAAAAGGGGCATGTATTGGGGTACAAGGGGCAGGGATAGTCTTCTAAGATCTCCAGGGGTGTAAGAAGCCCCCAGAACTCTGAAAACTGCCCACCTTCATTTCAGATCCAGAGCATTAAGGCACATCAGTATTTAAAGCCATTAGCAGGATTGGCCAACTAGCAAATGACAAAACAGATCTCTTCTTTCCCACTCCATGCACACCAAACACCAATTCCACCTGTTCCTCTTGAAACATTTTGTCCAATGTATATTGAACAGTTCATCCATAGTTTCATTTGTCCGGGAAAGAAAGGCATGCCACATGTTGATGTTCACACCTCTCCTGTAGGAAATTGAAGGCAATGCCTCAGCTCTGCTTGATTGCATAAGCTTAGTAACAGTGAAACGATTATTGCCACATGGCGCCAACTTGATGATTTTAAGAACAGTCTGACAAAATGAAATTCCATCATATTATTTGGAGAATAAGGTGATCACCAAGAACACAGATCTTGGTTATCCATGTCCTGATGGACCTATAGTAATTAGAATCACAATATAATATTTTTGAGCTGTAGTCTTAATCAGGGGTTCACCTACATATCATCATATACAATAAATGCATCTAATGATCAAGCACCGGAGCAGGTTAGAGGCCACAAATCCATTTAAAATACTGAGAACTAGCAGGGATTTCATTGTGTCCTATGATAGTTTTTTTTGTTTCTGTGGGACTTTATCCCAAGTAAGGGGACTTTTTTGAGTTGCAAGGTTAATCTTCAAGTTTGCTTTTATACTCATACAGTTATTGCTCCTCATATGTATTGCCTACTGAACGTGGAATTGCATTCTATTTATGCAAGGTTTCACTAAAATAATGCCAAAAATCCTGATACATTGAAAAGAATCCATCAGTTCCTATGATGTATTCATGACAGGCAATGCTCATCAGGCTGGGTGGCATTTGTGACAAAGTGTACTGTGAAGCACTGGATGTAGAAGCAGTCTCTGTCTTTAGAGCAATAAATGTAGGGTTTCAATTTGGCCAACAAGGGGGAAATTATTTATGGTAGAGGAAGCAGCATTGTGGTGAAGCTTAATTCTATTTGGCAGTTGTTCTTAGAGATGTTTAGCCATCTAAAATACTGGTTTCTCTTTCATGTCCGTCACCAAAGTGTTTTAATATTATGGGATGGAAGACTGGGGGGACCGAGATGGACATGTTTGAAGAAGATATTACTGAATTGTGGACATAAAAACCATGTGTGACTGAATGGGAAGATGGGAATTATAAGGTTAGAAATCTGAATTATTCCAGTTGAATTCAGTTTGAAGTGTCAGAGTCTTCCAAATCACATAGGATATTAATATAAATTTCCATAAATATGTAAGAAACCTGAATCTTAAATCTATATTCACTATATAGTGTGCCATAGAAAACATTATTAAATGCTACTACTGAATTTGTTGTAGAGTTTTTAAAAAATATATGGGCACTACCTCTAGGCAAGAACATGGCAGCCCTATTAATGCCATCATGCATTTTCCAGAGATGTCATGATAAAAGCAATGACTATGCTTGGATAAACTTTCCATCCATCTTGCCCAGCTTCAAGACTCATCACAGCCCTGCACAAGGAACCCAGTGATTCAACTAGACTATAAATATTGACAAAAGATGACATGCTGTACAATAACCACCAAACAAAACTTGGATGGCTCCCTAGCAGAGCCAAATTCACAGTTTCTCATTTGATGAACGGTTTTGACAGGTAAATACAATGAAAACAGTGAAGGCCACAAGGTGGAGGAAGAGGTGGAGGAGCCTCTGGGTGGGTCCAGCAGAGACATCTCAGGCAACACAATCAGGCTTCTCTCCTTCCCAGAAAATTTATTCCAACCTCACGGTGATATGGATGTAATAGATTTTTGTTGCTTTTATTTCATAGCTCTTATCCCATAGATTAACAAATCTCATAGTTAGTCCATTCCTTGTGTATTTATGGAGCTGTCTGCCCATTACTGTTTATTGCCCCTTATCTAAAAGAACCTGTTAATTTAAGAGTTGGTTTTAAAAAGAATTTTGGCATGATCTGAATTGCTCTGTTTGTGGGTTTCCTGTCTTTAGATTTCCAGAAGAAATGTAACATCCATCCTTTCACCAAGGGTTGCCAACTACAACTCAGAGATATTGTTGTCTCTACAAAATAGTCTACCACAACTTAGTGATCTCCAGAAATATTGGCCTATAATGTCAAGTGTCGGGGGGGGCATAGGACTCATTGGTCCTGGAAGTGAAGCATACAGTCCATCTGTTCATGGCATACGTCTTTTATTTTCAGGCCACAGTGTTGCCAGTGAGGCTTATACTATTAAATATTGTAGTACTATTCAGAACCAAACTGAAAAAGCAGCTAAATTTAAACTATTTTAAATAGTTACTAATAATAGACCGTTATAATAAAATAGTTTGAGTTTGCCCTCTAAAATATGGAGGCCTCTCATTTTCCACCAGCAATTCTGAGTGGCAGTTAGGAGAGGATCAGTAAAAAAGTAGTAATGGCTGCATCATTTTTAATTACTGCTGTTTGTCAAAGATACAGACTGCAACCTGAAAATCCCAGTCTTCCTTGACCAGTCATGTGATGTAAATTTGCATTTGTACCCTCTAAATTTCACAAATGAAAAAGGGATATTTATGTGTTTTTGAACAGGTTTTTTTTTCATTCTAAGTACCAGTTCAGGTTCTCTGTCTGCTGTACACTGCAGTCATTTACTCTAGTGCAATTGACTTGTGGTGGCATGGACAATGTTAGTAAACTGATCACAATCATTTACTCCCAGTATTTAGTTACATTTAACTTGATCTGATGGCCAGAATGAAATGGTGTTAGAGGAGTTAAAATAACTCTGTTGTCATGGATGGAGCCCTGTCTACCCAACAGAGTTTTGATCCACTGGGATTCTCAGCCTTTATAGAAGTGCAGGACATGTTAGAAAGATTCACCTTCGGAGACTGATGGACCCAGAAGGATTCCGGGATGCCCTGGAAGATTTTTCGGCTGCTATGTCTGGTTATTCTGTTGAAGCTCCAGCTGAACTGTTGAGAGGGGAAATGACCTGTGTGGTTGACACCCAAGGCCCTCTGTGTGAATGCAAAGCATGGACTCCTTGGTTTTCTGCAAAGATTGGAGCGGTGAAGCAGTTGGATTGATCACCAGAGTGAAGCTGCAGAAAGGATAAATTCAATCAAACATGAGTTAAATTCCATTTTTATGGTGTGAAGGCAACAAAGAAGTTGTTCTTCTTGTCTGGTAGTGTCAGCACAATATCATCTAATGGACTTGCTTTAAATCACTGAGGAACTATTACCTTCTAGACTCCAGAGAATTTTGAACAGAAACCTTCAAAAACTCAGGGTGGTAAATTTTCAAAACAGTTTGCTGACAAAATGACTCAGACTAACTTCAGCTTGGAATCCACACCAAGGATAGTTTCTGACGAATTGCTTGAGGCAACCATATAACCAGTATTGATGGATGAGTTTCAGTTTGTTGGATGTGAAAATGTGCATACCTTGCTTAAAAGAATGTAGCCAACCACTTGTTAGACCCATGTCTATACTGGCTGATTAAAAAGTTGCCATTGGAGACTTGGCCTGTTGGCTGATTCAACTTGTTTTGAGGGTCCTGGTGGCTAGAAAAGGAATGTATAAATACTTGTATTAATCATAAGGAAGCAAGGGGAACATTTTGATGACAAGGTTCTGTATATTTATTTAAGCTGAGCCTTGAATCACAGACATGAGATCCATCAGCACAGCCATACTTAAAGCTTTACCAGAGTAGTAAAGCAGCCATAGCTTGTGCACTGACAGAACAGCTTTTGAGAATATAGGGTCATTTCCATGGCACAATGTAGGAGTAGAATAGGACTTTGAGGGGGACTTGTACAGACTCACAATTTTTTTCAATCCGAACAAAAATCTGCATGTAAGTAGTATTTAAATGCTTGTATTTCTATGCACTTCATCCAAACGTATGCATTTCTAAATGTAATTTACCATACAATGTTCATTTTATAAACATTTTGTCATGTTTATGTACCAAAGAGAGAATGGCACCACAAAATGTGATGCACAAAGTCTAGAGGAAAATTACCTTCTGATCTGTATGTTATCCCAGAATCCGTTTGGGCCTCTTTGAAATGTCCTTGAGCATCCCTAATGCTTAATCTAATGTATAGCATTGCTTCCCCACAAGCTGGAAGCCGTCCATTAAATCCAGTGCAATGGAAGAGGAGGCAGCCATGGTTCCTCCCACCCATGCCTTGCTCAAGATTTTAAAAAGTACCCCAGGGCCTCTCCGAAATGCAAAAAAGAAGCAACATAGATATAAGGTGTCACCAGGAATTGGTACCAGAAGATGGGCCAGCTGGAGAGTATGGAGCAGAATAAAGAGCAAAACCTAAGGGCTCTTAATTTGTTTTTTCCAGGCTTTTAATTTCTGATGAAAACTGTTTTCATCTCACTGCTTTTATCCCACTGTTTTGATTTCAGGTTTAGTGTTGTCTTTAGATTTTCTCTTGTAAGCCCTAGAATCAAGGTATTTCAAAGTTAGAAGAGATATCCGAGGTCATCTAGCAAAGAAAGCTCCTCACCTCCAGAGGCAGTATATTCTGCTGTGGAACAGATTTTATTATTAAGAAGTTTTTCTAAAGATTTAGCTGAAATGCGCATCCTTGCAATTTCCACCCACTAATTCTAGTTTCAGCTGGCTGAATAGCTCAGTGGTTTAGGTATCTCTCTGCAGAGCCAGTGATTGGGAGTTTGATTCTCCATTGTGCCTCCTGGGAGTACAGCCAGGCTGTGTGGCCTTGGACAAGCTGCACGGTCCCAGGATGCCCCTAAAAGAAGGGAATGGTAAACTGCTTCTCATTATTCTCTACCTGGAAAACCCTGGAATATGACACCATATATCAGAATTGATTTGATGGCACATGATGATATTATTATAAATTCTGGTTCCATCTTCTGGACCGACAAAGAACAAGTCTACTCCATCTCTATTACACATATTGTGTCTTTGCCTGATTTTCTATTTAGGCTCAAACTTCACTAAGGATATATAGTTAAGAGTACAGTCTTATTTATATCTAGTCAAAAAGTCTCATTGGACTAAATCCAAAGCAATGCCAGCAGTAGCATCAGGACTCAACACCACAGTCTTCCACAGTGCTGCAATCCCCCTCTGGTGCATCTTCCAGTTCTTTAGAGAAGGTTTTTGGGCTGCACAAGGAGAATTATATGGAGGTCCTGTGGCACGGTGGTTAAACTGCAGTATTGCGAAGTTATATGGAAGTCCTGTGGCACGGCGGTTAAACTGCAGTACTGCAGTTAAGCCTCTGCTCACAACCTGAGTTTGATCCCAACAGATCCAGGTAGCTGGGGGGGGGATGTTCCTTGCATAATCACACTGCAAACTACCCAGAGAATTATCTAGCATCATAGGACAGTACAAAAGTTGAAACAACAACATATGCAGCATATTCAACCACCTTCCTAAAAAGGACACCCCTAGAAAGGGAGGAGATATCCAAGTATCAGAGTGAGCTTGTTACTTGCCCTCATGGTTGTTTGGATCTAGGACAGCTGGAGGTGCTGATGACTCTCACTGCACCAGGAGCAATGTCCTTCTTGGGGAGGTTATAGGTTTGGAAGAACCAAAGCACCTGGATTTGTTGGATCTCCCTGTTTCATGCTTTCCATGATTAACCCAAGGAACCAAGAAGGTAGCATATCTAGATAGAAGCCCGCAGCTGGCAGTGCAAGTGCCCATCTGGGAGAATTAACCCAAGGAACCAAGAACCAAGATGGTAGCATACCTAGATAGAAGCCCACAGCTGGCAGTGCAAGTGCCCATCTGGGAGCATGTTAAATATCCTTAATCCTACTCATAAGGAGAAGACATGCTGCAATTGAAGGCCCTAATAGCAAGCCAGGAATGGGTGGGAGAACAACACCCACCCCCATTGTTTCTCTGGAACCTCATTGTGTCTCCAGAACAACATCTTTCTTGCTAGATACCTCCCCTGCCAGCTGGTCTTCCATGAATGTAAAGAACAGGACAGGATGCTTTCCAGGGAGCAACTGCTATTGAACTTCTTCTGAGCAAATGCGCACAGAATTCTGTTTTCAGATGCTGCTCAGCAAAGTTTGATCTAGCCTTACCTCATTTAGTCATCACTCAAATTAGCGATCCAAATAAGAGCTGGGGAGAATACTTACTATCAAAAATAAATTAGTGAAATGAGGGACACTTATTCACTCAGCTAGGGACTGAGTACATGCAACTGATGTTTCTTTCAGGCAAGAGTAAATGATTAATTAGTATTTTAAGCTCTCTTTATTTAGGGTATGCTATGACCTCTAGTGGCTAGAGAAAAGCCATTCATTGTTTTAGTAAAGGAAGCTGTGTTCTACACACAAAGAGATGAGCAACTTGTAGCTCTCCAGATGTTGTTGAGTGCAAGCTCCCATCATTCCAAACCACTGGCTAAGCTGCTCAAATTGACAGCAATATTTAGAAATTAAGTGGCATCTGTTTAGAGTAACAATTCTGTTGAAACCAAATACAACAAATCTAAAAATATTCCCCTTTCACAGTGTTGTTTTTGTTGAGATCCATGGCCATCTCACCACTGTAGCTGAAAGGTACCTTGATTTCTAAATTCATGTCATACGTATTCTCCCAAAACACACTTCCAACAGGAGGATGTCAATTGGTATTATGAGTATTATTTTAACTGGGGGTGGCGGGTCTGATGGCTTTAAAGTTATTTTTGCAGGACATACAAATATTCAGCAGGTGAAAGTTTTCTCATCACTGCAGTTCCATGCCAGGAACATGTCAGCTGCAGACTTTTGTTTCTCCTTATCATACATTTGTTGAATGCACTGGAGAAAGTATGTTGGCTATGTTTTTAAGGACAAATGTGCAGATTTGAATGAGACAAAGAACTGATTGTCAGGCTCTAACTATTTGCAGCACAAACTATCCATGTTTATACAGAAGAAAGTTCCACCATTGTCAATGGAGCTTACTTCAAGGACAGTGTGCAAATGTGCATAGATTTCTGCCTGAGATGCTTTCTGCACTCCTCGCTCCCAAGTGGAAGGACACATGGTTTTGCCAGCTTCTTGGGCAGCAGGAGCTGTGCTACACAAGGAAACAACACAGTGATATGTCTAGTAGGCAGAACTGTTTGGCCAAACAAGTTCATTATGTTTTTTACATATTTTGTTTACTCAGCTCTTGCATTTTTCTCACAGAGATTCCCCATTTTACTATAAAAAGATTATTTTATATTTCTCGAATTCTATTTCCTGGTATCTGGTCAAAAGAGGGCGGAACACCATCTACTCAAAAACTACTTCCAGCACAGTACAGAAACGGGCCTTCCTTTTCCCCTGCAAAACTACTAGCAGCTTCAAGAAAGGGCAATTCAAATCAAGGTCTTCCTGGGGGAGGATTTGCGCATACTGTACATCCACATACTCCAAAAGTTTTTTTAAAAATAATGCCAGGAAATAATCAGATCACTGATCTCCAATATCATGTGTACTTTAGCCCTAAAATATTCTGCTTTTTACTGGACAATGTTGGGTGGGGGCTTTTAGAGAACTAAAATGGAAATAATACAAGTTTATGAGTTGTCACTCTTATTTCTCTTGAAGCCAGACTGGACCTTTATCATCTTGAACTTTGCTTTCAATTCTTTCCCCCAGTAGTATTCTGACAATTCTCCCAAATGCAATGAGCAAGGTTGTGTTTACGAAGAAGCTATTGAAGTTGCCATAGTTTTAAGGCAACTGTACTCAGCTATACTTTGGGTAAGTGATAAATTTTACCTTTTCTATCAGTCTGGTGTTACTGCTAGCTGATTAATGCTATGAAACAACTCCAGGCAGGATTTCTATAAGCAGAACCTTAAGGGGCAAAATATTCAAAAGCATCAACAAGCAGTCACTCAGCTACCAAAGTTTTAGTACACTTTTACCCCGGAGTGCTCATCTCACAAATTTATATCCCACCTTTCTGCCAAAAATGCGGCTCAAGGTAGCTAGCAATAATAAAACACAGACAGGTGTAAACAGTTTCTTAGGGATCAAACGAATGTGAAAGGAAGCTATAGTCTGAACTGTCTTGAATGCTAAGAATGATAGCTTATTTCAAGACCCACAAAATGTCTTGAACTCAGTGGATTCTGGGAATTCATGATGCTTCTCTCCTGAGAATATTATGTCTTGTCTAGGCTGATTGCTGCTTCCATGTCATTTGGTCACAACATATACATGTACAAATAAATAGATTTTCACATATTCTAAAACACAGCACTGTCTCTCCTTTGAAGAAAAACTTGAAATGGCTGCCCTGTACTTACCACCTTGCAGGAAAGGTTGAGCAAAGCAATACATCCATATTTTTATTGTTCACTGGTTCATGAACAAAACTAGGTTATTCTGCTGTTAGCTTCTGTGTATGACAGTTCACTGGAAACACTTGAATCAGATAATTGGAATCTAGCTCTCCTGTTGACAACAGTAGTATGGGGGGGAGGAAGGAACTGAATATGTAGAAGAAAATGATCTGATGGCTTTCATCTGCTCTGCGTTGCTAGGGGAAATGCTTTGTCATTTGTCTGTGTCAGAGGCAGCACCGTTTCTCATCATGGAACAGCTCTTGCCTTCATGAAGAAACCACAGAAAAATAATGACCATGCAGAAATAGGAAATAGTATTACAACCCATTTTGTTGTTGGACTCAGTCATGTGACTACACCAAGGCATGTTAGGCTCACAACTCATCACAGCCTAAAGGGAAGTCTGTGAAAGATTATTTGTGCTCTTGTTGTAAGACCACAGGCAAGGCTTTGTGATTTCTGCTCCAAAACACTTTGGCGAAAAATGTGTAAATTGAGTCCAGTTGCCACTAAAGGCTGGTATTTGTAAATCTGTTTGCTTCCAGGATTTATGCTAGGTGAAAGTGAAAAGAGAGTTTATGTAGAGAACTGAACCTTCTAGTTTCAAAGTATTCACCACATCTTCTTTGGTGAGGGGCTGATCAGGCAAGGCTATTGTTACCAATAGTTAGAGTTGGGCAGCTATCTCATGTGACAGATTCTCGCATGTGCAAAGTGGTGGTGAAGTCAGACAGATACCTCAGACAGCAGATGTGACCCAGCTCTAAATGTTACATTTTAGAAGGAACTATTGCTGTTATTACTATTGCTGCAAATGAGCACTAATTTGTTGTGTTGCACAATATATTGTACTCTATAAGCAAAAAGTCAGAAAAATGCAGGGCAGTACTCTCTGGTTCCCCCTAACAGCCTATTCTGATATTGCACATTGGAAATGTTATTTACAAAAATAGTAATAATGTGCTGTCAACTTACTTCCAAATGACAGCACCCAGAATTGGATTTTTAAGGTTTGTGAGATGTTCAAGGAGTGGTTTACCATTGCCATTCCCCAGTGAGTTTCCATGAATGAGCAGGAATGTGGTCTCCTGAGTCCTCAGCTAGCACTCTGTCCACCCTACCATGCCAGCTCTCATTGATAAAATAAGACAAAACAGCCCTGCAGCCTCCCTTGTATAGTAATTTAGCACAGATTAGAGCAGAAGTTCCCAACCTTGGGTCCCCAGATATTCTTGGACTAAAACTCCCAGAAGCCTTCACCACTAGCTGAGCTGGCCAGGATTTCTGGGAGTTGTAGTCAAAGAACATCTGGAAGCCCAATGTTTGGGAGTCACTGCATTTTAGATTGGCACAAAATATGAAAAATTCCTGTCAAGATACGTTTAAAGGATACATTAAGACATTTCTAGAGGTAACTTTTGCAAACCATTTGTTGTTACTCGTTACATCTAAAAAGTAACTTTCTGTTATCTACATATTTCATTGCCCCGGCTTATAATTAGTTACCTTCAACTTCTGGAATGCTGACAAGCATGAGATGGTGAGGGACTGCTGAAGAAAAGGTCTCCGTGGCCTGCCCTGTGGCTCTTAAGCTTGCCTACTGCCTTCAGGTGTGGTAGATAAAACAGTCCCATTCCTAATGCCAAAGATTCTGCTTTCAGTCTGGCTGTCCTGATGACAAGGTACGCATGTATGAATGCACTCTTTGCCTTGCATGGTCCTGAGCTCTGTGATTCAGCAATGTTAATTTAAGCTCATGGCTGCCCCAGAAAACCCTGCAAGAATGCTCATTTTCTAAACTGAGCTCACTAAATTGTCAGCATTTCCTCTCCCAGCCCAAGAGAATAAATGAATGCACACTGATAATCATTTAATTGCCTTATAAACAACAAGCAATTAGCACTACTTAAAAGCTCCAACAGCACAAATGGCCTTCTAGGAAGACACGATAACAGGTCATTAGATTGCAGGGTTATATACAAGGGAGCCAAAGAACACACAGTCTGAAAGATTTTCTTTCCCACATTGTGCCACTAGATGCCATGCAAACAGAAGGTACTAATCTCTTCAACCATGCAACGAATAATACTGGATTAAGTACCCCGTTACAGGGTAGTGTAAATATAATCACATATTTATAGCTGGAATTATAGCAAAGAATGGGTGACTTTAATAACAGGGGTAGCTCTGTAGATTCCTATCCTTCTCTGAACAACAGGAGCAGAGATACACAAAAATGCCCATGTGTCTTCCTTCTGTTACCCCCTCTCCCCACTGCCATCTTTTGTTTCATGACAGCAAGAAAGGTATCAGGGGTGATGGGAGGTGGATCCAGGTGGAAAATGTCTGGGTCCAGGTTTGCCTTCAAATTACATTTATTTCCAAAAAGGTCCTATTAAAAGGGAGAGTGACAAGGCAACCTCAGGCAGCTGGCTGGAGAGGAGCTGTCGTACCTTTCCAGCCGTTCTCTGTAAGCTCTCCAGCTCTTTTCCTCTGTTGAGAGGACGGAACAGCACATGCCATGCAATTTCTTCAGCCCCTCAGTACTGGCCTGCCTTATCAGTTATGGAACAAGATGACTACCAATGCTGAAGGGAGAGTTCAACTGCCAGTGTATTTAGCTTCTTTGTGTAGTCTTTATATTTAGCTTCTTAGTAGTCTTTGTGTTGTGATATTTTGATATTTAGTGGCACAATACCATAGCATAGTGTTGAACATGTGGCTGTTAAAGAGAAATAAGTATTCTGAAGAGTGGTATTAAGGGAAAAAAGGAGAGAAATCGTCTGTTTTGTAACTAAAGAAATCCATCTGTAGATTCAGCAGAAGAAACTTCCAAACTTAGTTACAGAAACCCCTAGTGCTGGCTTTCATATGCACAGGTCTGCTGACAGCCTACCTGGAAAGGCCATGCACTGCTGCTTTTCTCTAGCTAAGCATAAACAGTGAATAGGAATGATCTCCAGTGTTGAAAGGGGGGGAGGGAGCTTGAGAGTTGCAATCTAGAACACACAGAGATCCCCACACATCTGCAAATGGCCCCACTGATCTAGATCACTTGCTGTGTGGTGGTGTTCTATTACAGCATGAGGGAGACAGCACCATCTAGGAGGAAGCTGTATAGCTGCAGTGAGTGTGTAACTCCTGCACACTAGAAGACACTGGAAATATTCTGGGGGTCGGCAGAGTGCTGGGGAAAGGGAATATCTTCACACTTTTTTTCCTGATCTGAGATGAGGACGGCTGGTTCTTGCGAAAAAATTTTTTTTCAACTACAGTTCTCAGATTCCCCCAACCAGCCTGGCAATATTCAGAGTTGTAGTCCAGAAAATTACTTTCCCAAACTTGGCTGTCAGTTAAGAACACAGATACTGTCCTGCACAGCATCCCAAGGCTGCTCCAGAACTGTCCAAGAAGTTTGCATGTCTCCTTCATTCTAGCTGACCTTCTTGTCCTCCTGGATTACAATTCCATTGTCCTCAGGGATAGACAAGACAGATTACCCAACATCCTGTCATGAGTGCAGCCGAAGACCCGGAACCAGAAGGGTTAACAGAGGCTGAAGAGAATGCTGAGAGATCAGAAACACCTGAACCGCCTCCAGATTCTCCTTCCCCAGCAGACAAGCTTCGGGCCAGGCTTCAGGAAAGACTTAGGACAAAAAGGTCAGAGGATCGCTCAAAGGCTGTCCACAGAAATATCTGTTCAACTAGCCCTGAGTATTAACAGGATGGAAAGGTTTCCAGCAGCTCAAGGAGCTGTTTTACTATAAAACAGCTCCTAGTCAGCCAGAATTTCTGTGGAAGCAACGAGTTAAAACCCCTAGCTTACATCCATGCTCCTTCAACTGTGTTCCTGATTCTGGATTCTGACCCTGGACTATGCTGTGTATCTGACTCTGGACTCTGACCTTGGACTGCATTCTGTGAGTTGGTTTATGGACTTTGGCTGTTGTAACCCCCGGGAACATGACACATCCCATTATTCTTCTTCCTCCTGCTCCATCTTCCCCTCCCCACAGAAGAACAATCTGTTGTATAAACTGCTACAACCAGCACCAGCACTATCTTGCAAAAGACACCTTGCATTTCACACCACTTGCATTTAACAACATTTCCTTGATACTCCATTAAGCATAAGGCTATCACTTAATTTTAAACACACACATACTTACACAAAATAATAAAATAATAAGTCTACCTGATATTTTCTGCTTTCTGAGGAACTTAGATTTTTCTGAATCTATACCAGCTGAAAGCACAGTGCTTCTTGCTTTAATAAGCATGCTGTTCAAATAGAAGCCCCTCAACAGCAGATGGGGGGTAAAGGGCATTGGGAACAAAAAGGGCCAAACCAATTCAAATCAGCCTTTCTCTCATTTGATCAGAAAAAATACAATTAAGACCCCTTTGCCCCACCAGATCAGTATCTGTTGATTCAACTATCCACAGTCTGAAAATATTTAAAATATTTTTTTAATCCTAGAAATAAATATTTCTAAAGATGAAGTTATCAGAAACGGACACTAGAGGAAGCCAGAAATCATGCTATGTATAGCATTCACCAGAGAAATACATTTCCACAATTTCATTACCAGACCTGGCCACTAGAGGGAGGCAGAGACCCTTATTGTGTTCACTATTAAAAGACTGTTTGCATTTTTTTAAAATTATCTACATTTTTCAGCATCTGCAGAGAGTGGGCTTGGAACCAATCCCCCATGGATACAGAGGTCCTAGTGTACTTCAAATCAACCCATACGATAAGAGCAGCAAATCCCACAGTATTTGATCATGCAATCACGGTCTGAAACACTTCAAACTCATTGATCCTTGAGAAAGAACGAGGTCCATTCCCCCAGTCCCAATTGTCTAGCCCTGGAAGAAAAATTGTGAACATACAAGGATGTTTCTGAAAGTGTGTGAATTAATCTTAAACAGGATTACCACTACTTATTTTTTTTTTAAATGAAATGCACATTTCAGCCCTTTTCACACTGTTATGTACAGTAGCCCACTGGTTCTTAACCTTGGGTTACTCAGGAGTTTTGGACTGCAGCTCCCAGAAGCCTTCACCACCAGCTGTCCTGACTGGGGTTTCTGGGAGCTGTAGTTCAAAAGCATCCGAGTAACA